AGAGAGAGAGAGAGAGAGAGAGAGAGAGAGAGAGAGAGAGAGAGAGAAGAGAGAAGAGCGTGAGAGGCCAAGTCCAGAGGACCCAGAGCTTTTGACATTGACGTCACTCCCCTGGTGGAGACAGCCTGAGCCCAGTACCAGGGCTTCTAACAGACATGAGTTATGAAGGCACCTCTCTCTGTAGATGCCTACAAGGGAAAAGGGTCTTATGTGTTGAGTGTACTCCTTGTAACGGTTTCAGCACAGTGAGATGACATTTGCAGTGTCAGTCATGGGCTGATTGTGCCGGATGGTGGTTTCTCAGGAGAGTCTTGGGGTTGCTGTGTTTATCCTTCTCTGCATCACACCCCAGAAAGGCAGTGGAATGAGGGCATTTTCCGTATTTTTTTTCTTCTCCTCTTTCTTGAGGTACTGGGATTAGACCCAGGATTTTGTGCATATTAGGCAAGCATTCTGTCATGAGCTCTACCCCAAGTTGCAGTTTTGCATGTTTAAATATAAAACCATAGCCTATCAGGCTACCTCCTCTTCCCCTTGTGAAAAAGGCCCATAAGATGCCCATCTAGTACCTCATACCAGAGTGAAAACTTCCACAGCTGGGAAGGAAATGTACATGTCTGAGAGATTCATCGTCAACTTTTGTGGGTCTGTTACCTGGAACATCTGTCAGATTTTAATCTAAGTAAAAAAAAAAAAAAAAGAAAAAAAGACGGGGGAGGAGATTTTTGAATTTGAAGAAAGATACACTCAAACATCAGGTTTGCCAGTGTATTAGCTGAGTGTTCTTGGGTCTATTATAATACCCAAGCTAGGCTATTCTATTTAACTTACAGATTTAGGGGCTAAAAGGCCCAAATCATGCAGCCTATTGTATGGCTTTTGCTAAGAGACTGATGGTAGGTGGTTTCATGAAAGGAACACACGTAGGAGGAAGAGATCATATCGTAAGACAGGAAGCCAGCGATTGGGGTCCCATGAGAGTTATCGTAATCCCTCTTGAGGGCAGCACCCTCCATGATCGAGTGGTACCTCATACATCACCAAGTCAAGGATGAAGTTTTTAATGTAAGAGCCCTGGGGGAAGGCACGCATAGCTAAACCCAAGTCAGTTGCTCTATCATCTCCATTGGGCTCTCTAACACTGAACTTCCTCTTTTATGAAATGAGAATAAAAGTTCTCTCACTGTATTGCTATGAGAAAAAACGATAATATACAAGAAATACCGTGAAAATTGTCATTGGTTTTTTTTCTTTTTTTCTTTTTTTTAATTTTTTAATTTTAATTTTTATTTTTTTTTATTTTTTTTGAAAATTGTCATTGTTAAAGTCCAGAACTATTGGTCTATCATTCATCGTGACTGACCTTTCTCCTACAGCACGGTTCTTTCTTTAAGATTTACTTTTGTTTTGTGAGCATGGGTGTTTGGCTGCATGTGTGTCTGTGCACTTTGAATGTGCCTGGAGTCCATGGAGACCAAAAAAGGACATCAGAACTGGAGTTACAGGTGCTTACAAGCCACCCTGTAGGCTCTGAGACCCGAACCTGGGTCAACTGCAAGAGCAGCAAGCAATTTTAACCACGGAACCAACTCCATAGCCTAATACAGTTCTTTTGTTATCAATAAATAGGTGTTTTTCCTACAGGTCTACTGCCTATGTATAATCTAGCTATTCCCTCTAGATAACAGTTCCAAAACCACTTTTAATATCAAATAGCCATGTGTCTAAATTATGAGCATATTTGATAGCCAACTATCAAGAGCTGGAAGAGCGATGTTGAAGTAAGACAGGACTGACTGTGGTGATAGCTTCCTCGTGGGTGGATTCACAAGAGCCCAGCAGAGAACTTTATGCCTGCACTGGCCTTTCTAAAATGCAAGTTGGCCCTACCCTAGAGCACAATAAAAGGAAGAGAAAGAATCCTGTTCATGTCTTAGGGACATTCTGAAACGGGAGATATTTTAAAAATCCGTGGCACAGGCCAGCTATCTAATCAGTGGGGCGGCTCTCTTTAGCTCCCTCCGCCATGTTCCGTACTAGAAGCACCCAGAGGCCAAGCGCACTGCAGCTAGACCAACGAGATGCCAGCCAACATGGCGTCTGGCGCAGCCAATCCACCATGCTGCCCCCACAAAGCTCAGCTCAGCCCCAGACAGTATCCACTATACTCGAAGTACCTGGTAGGATGAAGACTCTTGATGCTTAAAGATTATCCAGTGGATTTATATATTTGAAATGCTCAATTAGCAAGATGCCCACATAATTAGAATAGTTACCCAATAGCTAACCTTTGATAAAAGTTGCTACCCAGGACTGCTCTCAACCCATCTGTCCTCCTCCATGGTTGCTAGCCTCTCCTCCTCATCTCCTCTTTCTCCCTCCCCCTCCTCTTTTCTTCTCCCAGCTCCACCTCTTTTTCTACTGCCCAATCACGGAGCTCCAATACAAATACAATGTAACAGATAAATATCCTGCTACATATCACCCTTTCTGTTAGAATAAAAGGAAAAAAAAACCTTCCCTCAAAATATAGAGCACAACTTTTACCAATTTGTTACAAGAGAGACCTAATACCCAGTCCAACATTATCGTCAATAAAAAGACCATTGTCTTTAACTTAAAAGACTATAGCTCTGCACCTGGCTTTTGAATGAATGCCATCTGAAAACCATCCTCTTAAATCTGTTCTCTCAAAGTAAATAGCCTAGATTGGCTATGAGACTATAAGTCTTCAACCTCATCAGAAATCCAAGAATGAGTGAATTAACTGAAAATATGGGAAGCACAAAGCCTAGCTTCCAAAACTTAGCCAAATTACAGAGACCACTGATCACCTGGACAGTCCCTATACTTGAAAATGTTGGAGCATCTGGTCTTCAGCCTTCTGGCCCAGGATCATCTAACAGACCTAGTGATGCAGAATTTTTAAGGGCTGATTTACCTGTCTAGGCAGAGATTATCAGTCGACTATTCCGCATAGTGTGTCCTATTTCTGGACAGTATTTTGTCAGTAGAAAAAAAAGAGTCAATTTTTGCCTAGTGGCTGTCTCACCACTATTGGGGTAATTCCAAAGATGCTCAATTTCTTCCTAGAATCCAAGAAGGGGAAGCTGTCAGGAGCAGGCAGGTCTTTCGTCAAATGATCTTTAATAAAGAAATATCTGTACCATCAATTCTGTGGATTTCTGACGCTTTTGAAAACTAACTATCTATGTAAAGCAATCTGGACTGTTGTCCATTAACTCATCTCAGCTATTTCTAATAAAAACCTAGAAAACACCCTAACAATAAACTCAGAGCCATGAATTTGCTATAGGCCCTTAACTCACAGGCTAACCATCTCAGATCAGTTAAAAAAAAAAAATTAAAGAAGGACTCGATCTAAGCCTTTTTTTGTACCCACAAAATTTTGAATTAATAGAAAAAAATTATACTAATAAAACCCTTGAATTTGCATCAAAATAAGTTTTGTAACAAAATAAGAAATTATGACTTCATCTTAGTAACAATTATACAGATTTCTACCAAGAGATTATGGCTATGTAATCAATTCTAGCTCTTCCTCCTTGTTCCAATAAAACCATTACTTTTCCCTAGAAAGACAGCCCAATTTTTTTCTTTTAATATTGCAGTAGAATACTTTTAAAGGTGATGTTAAGGGCTGGGGAGACAACTTTGTGATTAAGAGCACTAGCTGCTGTTCCAGAGGTCCCAAGTTCAATTCCCAGCACCCACAGGGTGGCTCACAACCATCCATAACTCCAGTTCCAGGGGAGACAATGAATGTGCTTTTCTGGTTTCTGTAGGCAGAAAGCATGCATGTTGTGCACAGACACACTTGCAGGTAAAATACCGGTATTCATAAAATAAATAAATAAATAAATAAATAAATAAATAAATAAATTCCTTTGAAAAAATCCAGGCTGATGTGTTACCCCTGATGACTGACGGGGAAATGTAAACCTTCCTGACTGAGCCCAAGCCCCAGATCCAGCATGATGGTAAGCCAAGAGCAGGTGTTTTCATAGCTGGGTGCTCAGTTTGTCCTGGTCTTACAGGCATCCTTGTGAAGAGTATACAGAGTGAGAGTGGAGGATTATGGTTCACTCCCAGGGGGTTTGAAATTGAAGGAAACCGTGAAAGATCCAAGAACTGGAGGCAAAGTATTCGCTGCCATGGATGGACCCTGAAAGAACTGATAAAGGTATTCTGCTGGTTCTTCCCAGAACCATGGTAAATTAAAAGTTTCTTCTATATGGCAGACAGTTTACGGTATTCTGGAGGAAAGGCAGCAGATTCGAGGCTCTCTCAGTGTAGCTGGTAGCTTCAACCAAAGATTTCACTGTCATAATTCACTGGTAGCAGATGTTAGCAGAATCTGTCCACTATGACTCTTCTTAGCCGGGATCCATGGCATGGGTTGTTGCCAGCATACCATTCAGGTGTTACCTTGGCTGGCTTGTATTACAGCTTAATCCTCTTAAATGGGTTGACTTACATCCTTTGGATGGTAGGAGAACAGGCTGTGTGTAGCCTTTACTATTAACTGGTTGTATAAAATTTGGTAGCATGGATATAATTTAAATCTGACGGGGGGTGTCTTTAAACTTGGAGTGTCAGTGATGAAAGAAAATATAATTACATATCTGAAAATAATTCAACCATGTGGATGCCTGAGTTACAGAATGTCCCAGCAGAATTTCCTCCAATAAGTCATCTCACACTTAGTCTTGAAAAGGAATGGCTGGGTGTGGTGGCTCACAGCTGTATTCTCTGCCCTTGGGAGACTGAGGCAGAGGGATTGCCCAGACTTTGTAGTGAGTTTCAGGACAGCCTAGGTCACAGGGTAAGACCCCCAACTCCCTCTATACCAGAAGAAAAGTAAATAAAAGAAAGGGTAATTTAAAGATTGCATTTTTAAAATCAGCCCTTTGCCCTTCATTCATACCTCTGACTGGGGAAATCAGGTTATCTTGGTAGCTGAACCTATTTTGTTCAACTCAGGGTACATTGCTCTCTCTGTCACATACCTCAGGTGGCCTTTCCCTGTGTCATACTCACAATAAAGGAAAAGGGATTGCTCATCTAGTATTGACTGAGCTGCATCCAAAGCCGTGTGGTTACAGGTGTGAGCCCCTGGCCAGAGCCAGGCTGCACCTTTACACCCTACCAGCAGTTAGTACTGTGAGGAGAGGTACCAGCAGGAAGTGATGCTGTAGCAAAGGGGTGGGATGGAGAGTCTTCACTAAGTTGGGTCATAAAAGAGGATAATTCTGACAAAGTGTAGAATGGTGCTTTCTGAACTGGGGAGGGGGGAGAGAAAAGCATGAAAACCAGTCCTCAGTGTGTCAGGGGGCTGTGAGCAATCACGTGGGAACAAAAGGTTTCCCTGACTCACTGTGGGGAGCATGGGTAATAAGTAATTTCCAGGGAGTTACCTTGTATTTAACAACAGGACATCCAGATAGCAATATCTAGAAGGCAGTTAGAAATACCTAGCTCAAGAAATAAACACAAAGACCCGCCCCATCATTAATCTCTCTGTCTTTCAGGAAAAAAAACTACAAGACCTACCAAGAAAAAAGGTAGTTATATCCTACAGTCTCTTGCCATGATGTC